TTTAGTACCACATAGTTAAAAACTTAGCGGACGAGCTCGTCGACAGTCTCCTCTACAGTCATTGACTGTCGCATCCATCGGTCGATGAAACCCAAACTTTTCTGTCCACACCTTTTTGACCCTAACCTTTTTGACCCCTGAACGCGATTACAACCTCCGTTTCACCATAAAAAATCTTATTACCTCCGATTTGACGGCAAACTCTTTGATTTATTCATCCTTCAATCTTCATGGTTCATTTTTCGATGGGCATGAAACTAGACTATGTTAGTCAACTTGTCATTCTCTCGTGGTTCATTGTTCAGATTGATCGTTCATCCACTAGAGTTATGTTATGTTAATGTGTATTAAGTTTTTAATGACGAGTACTAAAATGAAATGAAAATTAAACGTTAGGAATAGTTTAAAAAAAATTTAGGTACTGAAACATGTCAAAACTGATAGTTAGATATTAAACTAGTTTACCATTTTTTGTATGTGAGAAAAGGGTAAACTACACAAATAGTCACTAATGTTTGATTAATTTGTTCTTTTTCTCCACTAAAGTTTTAAAAGTAACAAATTAGTCATTAATGTTATCGAATTGTAAAAATTGGTCTATAACGTTATCAATTTCTAACAAATTGGTCACTTGATGTTAACAATAATTAATGTGAGTTGCGGAAAGCTGAGTTTGATCGTTAATTGTTTACCTAACCCACTGACCTGGCAACGGGGGATGCATTAAGCCCTTAGGGTGCGTAATGTGGGATTCTCCCGGTAATGGAATCCACATTCCCCCGTTTGGTTGGCCGGAAATGTCATTCCCGGTAATGTTTTATTACCAATAGTGGATTTTTTTAGGTATATTAATGAGAATGTCATTACCTCCCTTCCCTTAGGTATTGTAACATTATCGGTGTTTTGGACTAAAATACCCTTAATTTTTTTTCTTTCAAAAGTATCATTCTTCTGTCATTTAATAATAAAAATTCTACGAAGGTTAAATTACAAATTTAACCTTAAACTATTTTAGATTTACAAAAAATTCTATAATCAAAATTTTATATGAAGTTCAGGGGTTAAAATAAAAATTTATCCTTTCATTAAACATTTTTTATATTTTTAATTTTGTAAAAAAATTATATAAATTTTATGAATTTAAATTTTTTCAAGAAAATATATAAATATTTTCTAACTTGTAATATTATACAAATATATAATAAGGACAATTTGATCAAATATATATTCCAATAATCTTTTATTCCTTTAACCAAACACGATAATCTTACATTCCTGCTAAACAAACCAAATACAAAATACAACATTCTCAGTAATCATATTCCCTGATAATCTTTTATTCACATTGGTAATCTTACATTTCGTAAACCAAACGCACCCTTAAGGGTTAAGTGCATCCCATCATTTTGGAACAATTATAAAAATCAGTCTAACATATTAAAAGGAAGAAAAAAATACTAAATAAATTTGAATACCTATTTTATTTGAGAAAATGTGTATTAAAATTTTGGACCCTATTTTTCCTTCAAATAAAAATCCAGTTTATTTTTCTCACTCAAGCATTTTTCGCATGGTAACTTGGCAAGCCTAGCAGATTATTAGAGCATTTGAAATGGGTGGTAAAAACATAAAAAAAAAATTATTTGGCTCCATTGCAGGTTATTCATAATGTTACTTGTCTTAAGCTTTTCTCATAATGTCTTCCATAAAAGTTGTGTAGATAAATGGCCCAAGATGAATCTATCAGGGACGGAAATAGAATTTTATGTTAGGGGTGACAAACTTATAAAATTTTAAAGGAGGTAAACTTCTAAAATTTTAGGGGAGACGACAACATATTTTCAACATAAAATATAAAGAGAATATCTAAAATATATAGAATTTTGAATTTTTTTTTGTGGGTGAGGGCGATGGTCCACCACCTAGGTCCATTTCATGAAAGTGCTTTGTCCGCTTTGCAAATGCACGATTTTGTTGAAGAATAAGAATTTTAGTTTTTGTTAGGCTTAATACAAAAATAAATGTTCGAACTATGTCTCGAAAAATATATTAGTGTCTGAAGAATTGTTTACTAAAGATAGGTGTCTAATGTTTCAAACATTATATTTTTAGGTGTCTGGACGTTTATCGTCATTAAATACCTCCGTTAAGTGACACGTATCACATTCTGGTAATTTTGAGATTTTTAAAAAAAAGTACAGTAACCCCTTCCCTTGACGTGCTCCCTTCCCTTCCCCCTTTTCATAGTTGTCGCCTAGCTAGAGTTGGTCGTTACTGCCACCGACGTCGAACCCCGATCAAACCTCTGTTAACCTTTCGTCGTAATAAGTCACCGTTTGTCATGGAGAAACATTCAAGGGTTCGTCGGATACCATCGTCGTTCTTCATTGATTTCGATTGATTCCGACGTCCATAAGCCACACCGACGCCACCATTTGAACCACAATGAAATCCTGATCAAAACCCAACCCTTCGGCAATGACAACAATGGTCGGAGATGGCCGATGACCGTTTGGGTAATAGGGGTTAAAATGAGATATTTTAGTTTTTAGGGTTATTTTATAATTTCAGTAAAAAATTGGGTTTTTTTATAAATAATTTTTATTTTTTTAATTAAAAATAATACTTTTATTATTAAAAATAAACGGTAGACACCTAAAAGTATAAATGAGAAAACGTTAGGCACCTGTTTTAACGAAAAATTCTTTAGATATTAAAATATTTTTCGAGACATAGTTAAAACATTTGTTAATTGTATTACCGTGGTAGTAGGTAATGGTAATTGCCCTGAGTACATTCCTCTCCTGGTTACCTTCTGCTATCGAATCAGATCAACAATGGTGAAAAATGAAATAAAGTAAAAATGAAATGAGAATGGATTTTTATTTAAAGTTGAAGGGTTGAACAGTCAGCGGATAAGGTAAGCGATTATTAACATCGTCTATGTTAACGGCTATTAACGTCGAGTTATCAATTTATTAGATAATGTTAGTGATCAATTTATTACTTTCAAAACTTCAGTGAGTAAAATAAAAATTTACGTAGATATTAGTGACCATTTGTATAGTTTATCTTTAAGCAAATCCTACTAAAATTTAATACCTTTAATCTTTTCACTTTTGTTAAAATCTAATTAATTTAAAGTTGATTTCTGAACATTTCTATTTTAATCTCTTGCCTTCTATTTTTTTAAATTTAATCTAAAAATGAAGTAAATTTGTCGGCAAAGGAGGGCAATTTTGAGTTCCCGACAACTATCGATAAAACAAACATCATATTCAGCATGCTAAAAGGAGTGAATTGAAAATTTTGGGGTCAAACGATCATCAATGATAGTGGTTAGTGGTGATTGATGACAACAAATTACAATAACACAATATCCATTGAAGTATCACTGGAACAAAAATTTCACAATCCGAACCATAACTCTTATACCATTTGTTAGGAATTTAAGAGCAAAAAAAAAAAAACAAAGTAATATCAACATAAAATAAGATATGTATATAAGACGAGATTTAACGTGGTTTGACATCGTATAAAATATTTACTTTATTGTGTACCCATTCCTTTATAGAAACAAATATTTAGTTACCAAGAGTTCTTATTCCATGAAAATTATTGTCTAAAATAAATATTTACCTTATTAAGTAATCACTGAAATTACAATAAAATCTAACTTAATTATCAATTATAATTTAGGTCAAAATATAACATTAATTCATTGTCTAATGCTGATTTTAATATTAATAATTCATTGTCTAATGATAATTTTAATATTAATAAAATGGTTGCTTTGTTAAAAAAAAATCATTTAGAAAGGAAAAATTGGTACATGATAAAAAGAGAAAAGAATGATAAAATTATTCTTTAACGTTTGTACAAATGGTCACTTTGTCTTCTATTTTTTCCGCATTTTAGCCTCTAATGTTTCAAAAAATTTTATCAAAATTGCTAGGTTGTAAATGAACAGAGTGTTTCGGTGAATTGTTCGTAAACCGTTCGTTTATGTTCGTTTGTTAAGATAAATAAATGAACATGAGCAACAAAATTTTATGTTCATTTAATAAACGAACGAACACGAACATAGATGTATTCAGTTCTTTTATGTTCACGGACAAGCTTGGTTATAACCTTGTTTATGAGCTCGTTCATTTATGTTAATGAACGCTCGTTTACCCGATTCTCTTTTTCCTTCTATTTTTTTTACATTGTACATATCGGAGAATATAGTGATTAAATTGAATACATGATAAATGTTGAATTTTAAACTATAGATAAACATAAACGAATACTAAACTAACGCTAAGGAACACTAAATGAACAATAAACAAACATATTCATCAACACGTTCGTGAACATATAAAAAATATGTTCGCGAACATTAAACGAACATGTTTGTGAACAAAAAAATAAACAAATATGAACACCTTCAAAATATAAATAAACGAACACAAACACGATATTAAAAATTTAAACGGACATGAACCAAACACGAACACCTTCAAAAATAAACAAGCGATCACGAACATAACATTATTTGTTCAAACTCGGTTCATTTACACCCCCTAAAAATAGCCTTGTTGGAAAAAAAAATATTAGTTGACTGACGGTCAACACATGTTATTAACTGATATTTTTACATGTATTTAATTATTGATGTGACACATATCAAGTCATCACTTCGAGTGATATAACACATATTATATCATCACTATAGATATCGTGACACATTCCACGTCATCAATATATGTTAATCGATAGCCAAATAACAAGTTCCTTTCAACTGGAGATATTTTGATAGAAAACTAAAACGTTAAAAATTAAAATATTAAAAAGTTAAAATACTAAAAAGTTAAAATTAAAATGATGATTTATACAAATGTTAGAGACAATGTTATCATTATATAAAAAAGGAACAAGAGAAAAGTGCCCAAACATATCATTTTCAAGGGATAGAACTAGGCAGGCCGAAAGGGGCCTATTATTTGTCGAACTAGCAGGGTTTTTATGGCAACCAATGAAGGGGAAATGAAATACCAACGCCCGACGGTGAATATTGCGGGTTTAACGATGAGTCCAAATCCAACCAGTTGCGGCGGCGACGGCGGTAGCAGCAGCGGGGAAGAAGACGGAGACGCCGAGTGGAGAGCTTCCATTCACTCCATAGCCGCCAACACGACGGCCTCTTTCTCTGCAAAAGGCTCCGCGATTACAAAAAGAAACAACCTTTCGACCCCAGATACAGATGATTATGCCGATGAAGCTGATGAAATAGATCAGAAAAAGCAACCCTAGAAGCTTACACGCTATCAACTCAAGGTTCCCTGGAGCTTTTCCCGTGTTTCTATCTTCAGTTTTTATTAGCATTAGCTTATGTGGGTAATTTTTTGAATAATTTGATAAATAGCTACGTCAAAAATATGAACTTTTAGATTCCATGTTAAGTTTTTAGTCCAACTTATGGATTGATAGTTCCCATCAAATTCATTTCCCCCGATAAGTTGGCATCAAATTTGAGTGACGGGCAGGGATTTAAATTGCAAGGTTGCATTGCATTTATCGTGATTGCGGACATAGTGGGTTTTATCACGGGTATCGTCTGTACTGCTATATAACGGCTGTCATTCCAATAGGGGACCGCTATTTAGATCCCTGGCGCCGGGAACTAAAATGGAGCGAATTGAAAGGGACTCGAACTTTAGTAATTGTCTATTCTCAATGTTTAATATCATATATACATTCGATTACAATATATTATTCTGTTTGAACACTTGTCATGCATTGTTCCGTTTGCTAACTGGTTAAAGTCATAAGCAGGCACAAAAGCTTTTGGATGATATTTTAGAGAAAAACTTAATGATTGTGAAGGATTGCAATGTCCCAGATGATGATAGTTTGGTAAATGATATCGGGGTTCGTTTATTTAAAAGTTCTGCTCCCAGGATAGTATTTGACCATGTAGGTGAGTATGTTTTTCGCTCGTTGTCATCTCTTGCTGCAGTTAAGATAACATTTTACAATTTGCTTTTTTTTCAACCTATTCCTTGTCTCTGTTGCTAGTATATCAGTCCCGAGTGTTCGATTCTGGATTCGGAGTTTAGTGAATGGGAAAATAGGGGAAGCCTTTTTCGAGAACAAGTGAAACTTTTGTCATGGATTCTATTCAGTTTTGATGAAAGTTTTACATTTGTTATAGGATATCAGATGCATTGATGATTTATGGTAGATTGGTGTTGATATGGCAATGTGTTTGTGCATTTGGTTTTCTATAGGTTATGGTATTTTAAGTATGTGAATTATTTGTTTGCTGTCAGATGAAATTCAAGGGCCCAGAAGGAAACCAAAAATCCTTCCCGGAAGAGGGATCAATGAGAACTCGAAAGAGGTTCGCTTGTTGTCTGGACATCGCTTTTGTTTCAGTTAACTCTTTTCTTCTCCCTTCTCACTTTGGATGACTCTCTCATAATTTAAATCCGGCTATCATGGTGGCATGCAGTTTAGAAGACAACTACGGTCTATAGCTGTTGACGGAAAAGATATATTGGCTGCTGCAAGAGATGCAAGCCAGAAAGCATTAGCTAGACTAGAAGCTAAAGATGCAGCAGCTAGAGAAAAGGCCGAAAAAGAAGAAGCCAGAATTGCACAACTGAAAAAGATAAGAGGAGAGAGGTGGCTACCTTCAATGGCTAGAGAGATGCAGGTGAATCCCAAGTTCGAAAAGACATTATCTCGGTCACATTTTCAGTCATCTAATCTCCTTTTTCGTTTTCTGGCTCAGTTAAGCAAACGTCCTCGGCAACAGGTATAGGCCGATCACTTGAAGATGTTTAGATAGTTGTTTTTCCGTGATGAATACTACTGATTCGTACTCTAGAATGACAATGCCTCCCGTTCTTCCTCTCCTTTTATGTTACATTTAACTTTTACATGTTCTGTAATGGTCTGTTTTCGAAATAGATCGAGTTTTTTTCGTACATGTAACAACTACAAAGCATTGGATGATTTTGCAAATCATTATATTTTTTAAGCATCAATGAATTAACAGTCAAGTTAACGTCATTAATATTAAATTGTCATTTTCTTTTGAGAGAAAGGCATCATCCATGCTGCAATATTGCCAAGAAAATAAAGGAAACATTTGATCATCCTAGCTATATTACTATCATAGCTACTGTTCATTCATTACAAACTGCATATGAAGGAAACAAGTTTCCTTGAAGCCTGAAACAGGATATAGATATATGAAATGAGAAGTTTACCTAGTCCCGAAACGAGAACGGTATCGATTTCCATTGATTCGGCACATGATATTATAGGTGTGATTATGGCAATCAGGAATTTGAGGGTTTCTCAATTGTTAGGTCTGCAGGTAACCCCTCTCCTCCAGGTTGAGTTTTGTATACCTCTCCCGGATATTAGCATCTCTGGAGAACAAACTCGCAATGAACAAGTACGGAAAACGGAATGGAGTCTTCGTATTGTGGAATCTCAAACGGAGTTTCAAACGCCCAACACCCTTTGAGAGCTTCGAAAGAAGGATCTTGAAGACTTATCGACATGACTTCTGATAGGTTTACGTGATGAGCCGGAACCAAATCCACTGCTTGAACACATGTCTAACTTACACGTAGTTATTATAACCCTACAATTGACACTCACACTGGAGACCTCTATAAAACTTCTCTAGGTTGACTGAGAGACGAGATACGATCTTAATGAAATCTACTTACCTTAATTATTTTCTACGTATTAAAATACACAATCATGAGTACGAATCAAGTTAGTTCAGTGGTTGAAGAGATGATTGTTATTTCTAGATATCTTAGGTTAGAGCATATCATATGTCAAAGGTGTTTGAGCATTCATTTTCGAATGAATTGAGGGTATTTTGAACAGATACTACTTCTATCTTATAATCACTCTCGGATTAATTAAAAGAGAAAATAACATCATTGACCAAAAATGCCTTATAATATAAGATTTTAACCAATTTTTTTTGGATTTGCCAAAATGACCAACTAAATCGCAATGTGATCGATAATTCGCAACGCGATCTCCGGTATCGCAAATCAGTTTCCAGATTCGAAACGCGAACTTGGACTATCGCAATGCGAACTTGGACTATCGCAATGCGAATATGTAAATTGCATTGCGATAGTCGAAGTTCACGTTGCGATAGTCCAAGTTCGCGTTGCGATTTATTCCAAATTCGTTGCGATAGTCGAAGTTCGCGTTGCGATTTATTACAAATTCGTTGCGATAGTCCAAAATCGCAACGACTGGTGGTATTGCATTTGTTTCTTAAGAATTTTCTCTAAAAAGATAATATTCACGCGGACGTGTCGAATACACGTATTACCATGACCACGACCACGACCCGACCCGAGACGAGACGGACGACGGTGACGGCGGCGCGCAAGAGTCCCCCTTGTTCTCTATCACTCAACAAGGAAGTTGGTCATTTTGGCAAATCCAAAAAAAATTAATTAAAATCATATATTATAAGGTATTTTTGGTCTATGAGGTTATTTTTTCTAATTAAAAATACACAATCATCAATGAAAAATAATTGAAATATTTCAAATTGTAAAGAGAAAGGAAAAGAGACCATGACCCACAAAAAAGCCTAGGAAGTTACACCTTAGGCCCAGCAAATCCTAAATTAACCTAATTCCCCCGCAACCCTTCATCATATACTCTCAAAACCCTACTTCCGAAATTCTACATTGGCCGTCGTCGAGTTGAAGAGGAATCAAACCCTCTTCTCCTCAGCGAAAATGAAGTACAATCCACGCGTCTCCTCCTCTCGCCGCAAGAGCCGCAAGGCTCATTTCGCCGCGCACTCGTCGGTCCGCCACGTGCTAATGAGCGCGCCGCTCTCACCCGATCTGAGGTCCAAGTATAACGTCCGGTCCATGCCGGTCTGCAAGGACGACGAGGTCCAAGTTGTCCGTGGGACCTAAAAAGGCCGTGAAGGGAAAGTCGTTCAAGTTTACCGGCGCAAATGGATAGTCCACGTCGAACGCATCAAACGAGAGAAGGTGACTGGTACGACCGTGAACGTTCGGATCAACCCATCCAAGGTCGTGATTTCCAAGCTGAGGCTCGACAAGGACTGGAAGTCGTTGTTGGATCGCAAGGCAAAGGGACGGGCTGCTGCTGATAAGGATAAGGATACCAAATTTTCTGCTGAGGATATCATGCAGAGTGTCGACTAAGGTTGCCTTCTTTTTCATTGTTATGATATGCACTTTTATGTTGCCATTTTTTTGAATTCGCAGCTGTTGGGCATCATTTTTCATAGTTATTTCATGTTATAGGCTTGTTATTTGATGAAGAATCTGGGATTTTGTAGCCTTTGCTAATGCTATATATTGCAATTTTTGTTTTTGTCTTAATTTTGTAGCATGTTCTAATCTTGTTTTGTATAGTAGATCGATGTGCAACAGCCTAATTTAAGGCTAATTTAGGATGATTTTCAACATTAAATATTATTATGTCAATCTAAAAGCTCAATTGTTATATAATTTGTAATAATTTATCTTACAATTGAAAGAAAAAGGTAAAATTTTCGGCTTCAACTGAAAATGTTACCCTCGAACTTAAAAAGTTGCACTTTCAATAAGATTTTCAGTTGCGATTCATGCCGTTTTTAGCCTTGTATTAACAAGCCTAAAATTTTAGGCTCTCTTTTGTACTTTTGATAAAATTTTCAGTTGCGACCAAGGAACGTCTAAACATCGTCAAAATTATCTTCCTTTTACTTAGTGAACACTATAACCAAAGGACCAAATTCTACTATCTCATTGCCTTATGCATGTGTTCTTAGTCACATTTTCAGTACCCATTCCATTAATACTTCTTTTGATCCTCTCGTACCCCTTTCAAGCAAGCTTGATTATACCTCGGTTAAGAAAATGGGCTCTAAATTTGAAAATGGATATTGGGTCAAAAGTCATGATGGCACTCCTCAGGTTAATGATCATGTTGCTCATAGAGTCAGTGCACCCGATGATTTTGTTCCTTCCCATCCTCCCATCACCTTAGACTCACTCTACGATTACATGGCCACTCGTTTTGATGAAGTTCTTCATCATGTCGATAGTCGCTTTGATGTCATGGGAGCTAGTATTGATGCTTTGGAGGCTCATTTTCCGGGCACACTTTCTCCTTTAGGTCCATCTTTATGTTCTCGTCTAGACATTGAGGATTGATCATTTGCATAGTCTATTTTGGATATTTTGTTAGATATTTACTAGTATATTTGCTTAATACATTACATTGATCTATTTGGTTATTATTGGTTATCTTAAGATTATTTTAATTATGCTCTAATCTTGTTTATCTCTTGTAGTTAAATGATTTTGATCTAATAAAAAAGGGAGAAAATTCTAAACAAAATTGTTTTTACCAATTTTTTGACTTTTGCAATTCATTCTTAAATTCCTTTTCAAAGGGAGAGAAAAATGAAAAATATTACTTATAAAAATTTTGACCTCTTCAAAATTTATTTTTAACAAATTTTTATAAAGTGATTTTGTTATATCAAAAATGGAGAGAGATTGACAAATATAATTAAATGATTTTGATATAACAAAGGACTAACTTGAAAATTTTGTAAAATTAATATTTTATTTATCCGATTCAAAATCTTTCAAGTTTGTAAAAATATTTTTTAAGGACCAAAATGTTAAAAAAATAAATTTAAAAATGTTTTTAGAATTCATAAATTTTTAAAATACTTTTGTAAAACACAACAAGGTTAATTTTCAAAGTTTTTGAGCATGGTTTCGAAGCCCCATAGGCAGTAGCTAAAGCGCATTGAATGCGCGGATTTATTGCTTCAAATGGCTCAAAACTCTCTCCAACAATCCCAAACGTATAGAAATCAATGATGACATATAAAATGGGTCTTCAAACAGTCATGAAGAGACAAGAAAGCTATTCCAACAATCAAAGAGCAATTAGAGCCAAATTTGTATTCCATTGTGTGTTTCTTACATAGAACACTATTCCATTCATTGCATTTTTCATTCTAGTGTTCTTGGGTGTGTGTGAGAGCTTCAATTTGCAAACATTTTATCTTTGTGAGGATAATCAAAGTTTGCTTATTTGTAATTTAATTCTTGGGAAGAGTTGAACACTTAAGACTTTGAGGTATAAGTCTTAGTGTTGGGTAAGGTTACCCTTGTCCTAGAAGGTTAGAACAAATTAGTGAATTTGTTGAAATCCTTAGTTAGGAAGGTAAAACAGTGTACGTAGACTTCATTAAGAAAGCTGAACCACTCTAAAATATTTGTGTCATTTCTTACTTTTTGTAAAAGCTTCCAACATTTTTTTAATTGCCAACTCGCCCCCTCTTGGCTATTTTCTTTGATCGATTGACTCAACAGAAAATAACTCGAACCAAAAGTAACTCAAATTTAATTTACCCAAACTTGATTTGAACCAAACATTACCGATTTTAACCTGATAACTGAGTTAGTGTATAGATATTTTATTTTATTTTTAATTATTTATTAATTAAATATATATTAATTATTTATTTGATTTTAACTTTAATTATTTTTATTAATTAAATATCTAAATTTAAAATTCATATACCTAATTGAATATCTAATAATTAAATAAATCTAAATCAAATTTAATATATAATTAATTAATTACTATTTATGATAAAATTAATTTTCCCCATCAAATATTTATTAATTTTTCATTTTCATTTTATACTTAATTTAATAATAATTTATTAATTTAATATCTATTTTAGATTTCATTAATTAATGAACCAAAATAATAAATTAATCTTTAAATAATCTAAATAATAATGTATTAATTCAATATTTCATTTTGGATTATATTACCTCATAATTCAAAATTATTAAATTGGTTTTCAATTTATTTAAATCAAATTATGAATTTAATATTTTACTTTGGAATTACTAAATAACTTTCCAAAACTTTAAATTAATTTAAAAATTATTTTAATTCCAATGCATATAAAAAACACCGTTATTTAAAGTTAATATAAAAATAATTTATTTTTACAATATAAAGGTATCTATTTTAATTTATAATTTAAAAAATAAATATTAAAAAATATAATATCATTTATAAATATATTCAAAATAATATTTATTCAAACATAAACATTATATTATTATTACTTTTAAATTTAATAAAAAAATATTATATTTATAATTGAACGTTAAACATCTAAGTGAAAATTTTAATTGATAATAAAATTTATAATTAAAAAATTTATTTTTTTTAAATCAAATAAATTGCACCACAAACATTTCGGTCTAGATCAATAAAAAAACATCACAAACTATAACATATCTTATAGGTCGAGTTTGAGTTGATTTATAATCCCTAAATAATAATTGAATTTGAATGAAATTAAACACAAATAACAAGATTTAAAAAATACACGTTTTTTTACGAAACTATATCAATAATTCTATATATAATTAATTTGACTCATACTCAACTCAATCCGAATTGACCCGAAAATCTAAAATAGACATAAACCGAAAATAATTGATCGAGTATTGACTAGACCCGAAAATTAATCAATTTGATTTGATATGAGACGAAATCAATCCATTTGATATTGACCTACTCAATACCCGAATCGATCATACTTACTATAGACCCGAATAAAACTGAAACCCAAAATGATCTGACCCGACTTACTATAGACCCACATAAAACCAAAACTCAAAATAACTCAACTTAACTTACCCGAATGAGTCTAAACCCGAAATAAACCGAACTAAAATGACCCGAACCGAAACCACTCCGAATGACCCGTTTACCGCCTCTACATGAACCAAACGTGTTAAATACATGGACATGAACCAAACGTGTTAAATACATGGAAATTGCAGTGCAATGAATGTGTTTCTTTCAGCATTTGTTGCTCAAGTAGCTACCGTTGAACGCTGTCTATATAGCTTCCATTTTGGCCTTAACAAATGCATCAATATGCATTGTGATTTGATTTGTATGCTTTTCAAGTGCATAATGCTTTTAGATTAATTTTCAGTTCTCATGAACCTGTGATTTCCAAGCTCCAAGAGTCATCCTGCACGAATGGTATTTGAACTTCGGAGCTCCAGGAATCATTAAGCATGAATGATATTAGAGCATATTTGACTTGGGTTCTCTTTGCACCGCGCTGCACTGAGTTGCGGCGTTTTGTTTGGTTACTAAGGTTTAGGGGTTTAGATAGAGAAAGGGTGTTCGTATATGATCGATCCCGTTAACTGCCCCCGTCCATCAGCCCACAGTAGGGGATGAAGGCTTGAAACTTAAAACCTAGCATATCTTTGGGTCGAGGCAGTAGCCGGTGAGCTTTAGGGACCGTGTATGATTACTGAGCTTTAATCAGGCTGAGATGATCAACAGCATAGGCTCCTCCGATGCCGAAAGTGTTCTCATTTGTTGGAAACTTTCTGCTAATCTTGCCGACAGCAGCTCCTTTCTTTGGGTTGTTCGGGTAATGCACATAGATGCTTTTATGCTGTCTCACTTGTCTCCTCCGAAAGAACTAGTGCCAAAAGATTGAGAATCTTGCTTCTACTGACTCCGGGTTGTTCGGGTATTTATTGAATTCCATTGGCTCAATTGGGTTTGATCGGCAATGGAGGTCGAGGAGGGGACAAAGAAGACCAAAGATTAGGCTGAATAACTGTGGGCTGATAGTGTGAAAGAGGAGGAGGAGGAGGAAGAAGATGAACAAGCACAAGAAGCGGAGGAAGTGTCCGGCAAGAAAGACGCTTTCTTTATGATGGCGAAAATTACATCAAGAATTGTTGATGAATTTGATATCTCTTTAGCAATAATTGCATGGATTAACATAAAATTAAGGGTAAATTACATATATAATACCTACACTATTAGTTTGGGTTAAATCATAACATTAAGGGTAAATTATATATTTAATACCTACACTATCATTTTTTTTATTTTAATATTTAACATTTACATTTTGTTACAAAATCGTATCTAACGTTTATTTTTTGTTTCATTTTAGTATCTTATTATTAAAAATTTAGCGATATTGTATTTTTTATGGGTAAATTACATTATTCATCAATCAACTATTTTCTCACTCCTATTTTTGTCACTAAAGTACTTTTAAATTACTATTATTTTAATCACTCTAATTTATTTTATTAATAATTTTTGTGATGTTTCATTTTTATTATTATTTTAGTAGTATATAATTAAAATAAAAAATATATTTGAAAGTTAAATAATTAAATTAGAATAATTTAAACTTTAATGATCAAAATAAAAGTGATAAAATAATTGAATAATAAAATGTACCCATAAAAAGACACCCACCCAAACTATCCCTCGAAATTAAAATTTAAACGATTACTTCATTTCATTTCCCCCAATTTTCGATTTTTCGAACCGTCCCAAGCGGGAAAAGTAAAAAGCCATGGAAAAGAAGCTCCGCTCCTCCCTCAAGGCCTCCGCCGAGGACTTCCTCTCCTCCGCCGTGAAACTAACCCTAAAATTTTCAAAGGCGCCTCTCAAATCCCTTATCCATTCCATTCCCGCTTCTTCCCCTCTTTCCTCCACCCTCCCTTCTTCTCTCCACCTCTCCATCTCCGACTCGATTCGTTCATTCCAAAACAAGACGACCCACCGTGAAGCCGACTCCTCCCGGTCTCCTCCCGCCAAGCGCACTCGCCGCTCCTCCCGGAGCTCCAACCCCCAAGACGTTCGAGTTGACGACAGTAGCGAAACCCTCCGCACACTCGCTTATATCACCGGCTTATGCGTTTCGCATCCCCGAGACGTGTTTCAACACTCCGATTTAATCCCATCCGTCCGATCTTTGCACGACAGCCTCGTCGTTTTTGAGTCGGATCCTGTTTTGTCCTATGAAATAGCGTGTTTATGTGAAGAATGGTGGAAACGAGACTTACCGGAAAAGGAAATCCTAATTTCGCAAACGCTGCCGTTTTTGCTCTCGAAGTCGTTAACTATGAAGAAAAAGGTGGATGTCCACCGAGTTTATTCGCTCCGTGAAGCGTTCAATTTATTTGATTTTGAAGACGAAAGCATCGAAGATTTGAAGCTGTTATTAATTCGATGTGTCATCGAGCCTTTGTATTTGAAGACGGAAGAAGGAAAGAGGTTCCTGGCGTTTGCATTTGGGTTAAATTTGCAGTTCTTGAAGGAATGTTTGGCGATGATAAAAGCTCAGATTCCGTTTGGGAGGAAATCCATGCTGGAAGCTTACGGGGAGATTGTGTTTAAGGGATGGAAAGGGGTTGAAGGGGAACTGAAAAGGGAAATCGAAGATGGGTTCTTGATGGGTTTAGTTGAAGGAGCCATACATGCAAGCTCGAAAGGTTTGGGAAGTAGTATTAGAAGGGTTTTAGGTGGGTTTATTAACCAGAGAACTGTTGATGGAGTTGAAAAGTTGCTTTTTAGACTAGCTGAGCCTCTGATTTTCCGGTCTTTACAGGTAGATATTTTCCCTAAAATTTCCGTGTACTTGTCGTGGATGTGAATATCAATATTTATATGGCATTTATTTAGTCTCTTGTCGATGTTGAAAGAACCAGAGAGAGGGAAAATGTTAGGTTATGAAAGCAAATAAGATCTTTTGAAGATTGTAGAATCAACATTTTAATTTAAGAAATAACTTTGCATGATTTTTTTCTTGTATAAATAGTTATGTTTAAATTGGGTTATATTGTAGCTAAAATTTGTAAATATTCTTGCTGCAAATTTCATGGAGGCATGCCTTTTTGGTTAGATATCTTGGCCCTATTAGAATAACTTTTTCTTTGTAAGTTGACATGTTTTTAACTTGGTATTTGGGTGTTTTGGATGAGAACTATTTCATCAAGCTGCGTGGTTCTTTGATAGGTTGCAAATTCAAATGTTCGCCAAAATGCATTGCATTTACTTTTAGACTTGTTCCCTTTTGAAGATCCTGATGCCACCAAAGAGGCTAAAGATACATTGCTGGATAAACAGTTCTTTCTGTTGGAGAAATTACTCATGGATGATTGTCCTGATGTGAGAGTTATTGCTGTGGAAGGCTGTTTTCGGATTCTCCATTTGTTTTGGGAAATTATCCCTCCACCAACCATTACAAAGATGATCACGAAAGTTTTTGATGAGATGGCATATGACGCATGCAGTGAGATTCGGTTTTCCACATTGATTGGCATTGTCTATTTACTTGGCAATCCCCAGTCGCATGAAATTCTTAAAGTGCTTCTGCCCAGGCTGGGGCATCTGATGTTAGATAATGTTCTTTCAGTAAGAGTTGCTATGGTAGATCTCCTCCTCCTTTTAAAGGACATTCGAACTTTCCAATTTAATAAGGTATAGAGTACTTTTCAAATTTAATCTTGCACCAGAAGTAACTTATTTTCCTAAGGTGGGGGTTTTATTGTTCATTGCTTTATTTTTGAAGGTGGTCGGTTTAGAAGTCTTGTTGAATACACTCTCAAATGACCAACCTCCAGTTGCTCAGAAGATCACAAGATTACTTATGCCATCATACTTTCCCGCGAGACTAGCCATTGAGGAGGCATGTGATCGCTGTGTCACACTTATGAAAAGGTCTCCACTAGCTGGAGCAAGGTTTTGTGAGTTTGTTTTGTTAGAAGGTGTATCTCTTAAATCCATGATGGAACTTGTCAAGGTTTTCATAAGTTTACTGTTGTCGAATGCTAAACTTGGTGCTCCGGTTGTTGAGGGTTTACTGGTTGCATCAGCCAACCTTTGCAGTAGTCTAGCAAATGAACAAACTCAGCAAGATTCCCTTCGAGAGTTGTTTTCTGGTGAAAGAGTTAAGCGCTTGTTAGCCGTCGCATCTACTGCTCATGCTAGATCTTCTATTTTTGACATGTTATCTAGCACTGCTTCAGACAATGTAGTCGAGCTCGTTGGAAATTGCATGAGCATAGTCACTGATTGTAGTGATTTATCAGAAAATTTAGAAAAGCAGGCTGAAGTGAGGTCTTCCCACAAATTATTGACATCATGTGTTTCTTTCGATGATATGTTTGAGGCTCTAACAAGGCTTTTGCAAAAAACTGCCTATCGCTGTCATTTTAAATTTGGCACTGAAGCACCAAAACAGAATGTTTCTCCTGCAAAAAGAAAGAAATCGAAGTCTTCATCAAAAACTTCTGTTAAATGGAAACATGTTAGTGGAAAAAAGTCATCCAATTTCAAGGATGATTATTCAGTTGCTATTGGGGTATCGTGGCAGATAAAAGATATGCTTTCTTCTGAGAACACTCGAAAAGCTATGATGAGTGCTCAAGCTTTGGAATTGCCATTCCTTGCTTTAAAGATTATCTCTGAGGTCAGCATCGTACAGTGTGAGTATTATGAATATATGGACCCGTATCCTGTGTTGGCATATACAAGTCTTGCTCTGCAGATGGCCCTTCAAAATGTTAGAGTTAGTAATGCAACTGAATCTGGTACTAAGAAGGATGAACAAATCAAATCATCAGGTCTAATTTCAAAGGCAAGTTACGATTTCGACTTTTCTTGAACTTCAATTCTCATTTTAAAATTTCTTTCTAGCTCTTCCTTCACGGACTTATAACTGGTGATTTGCTCTTGTCTGCAATTCCTCTACAGCCGGATTGGTCTAAACTTAAATGAACTCGAGGGTTCCAGATTCCTTTGCAATGGTTTTTAGTAAATAAGAGTAAAATGTTTTGATTTTCACCTGGTTGAAGCTTGTTAGTAGGATTAAATATTTGAAACAGCTGCAATGTCTTTATCTTTGATATTTAATGCTAGAAATCTCTTCTCCTTAAAAATAAAATTTATAATGTCTCTAGTAAACTCAGGCCACTGATGGGCTGAATGCTTTGTTTATTTACACACACACACGTTTTATATATTAATTTCTTGTGCTAAACTTCTGACGGGCCATGGTAGTCCAGGTAATGGATCACCTGCTTGATTGTACAGATAAACTCTTTGAAGAAGGTGACTCGGAAAAGAATGCGAAATCACTTCCAAAATCTAAACAGAGCAAGAGGGCCTCACGGCTTGAGAAGAAACAGGGAGAACCTCAAACGGATGCTTCTGGCTCTAATACTGATGGTAAGTGATTTGGAAGAAGGCATGCAGAGATTATCTAACGCTGGATGCAAGCATTCATTTTAAAGTGTTAAGCGTGGACATAGAGAAAAGTGCTTTTAATGCTAAGTTTAAACATTTATTAAATCTGAACTGATAATAATCCATTAGGGAAGTTGTGTATGTGGGTTGTGTTTGGACTTGGATAGAAAGATGAGGTACAATATTTGGAAATCTGCAACTATTAACTTGCATTTCTGGATTAGGAGAGACCCCTAACATGAAAATCTATATTAGAATATATACCTTGTATTAACTTCCATTTCTGTGGGCCTTCTTGTGGTTCTGGTCTTTGTGTTTTGGAATAGGTTATGACATAATGCATTGATTTTTCCTATATCCATGTAGGGTCAGTATATACCAAGCAAAAACAGATGTCAAAGAGGGTTACAATGTTCACAACGGTTCTCAAGTTTATTGTCGATTCTATGACAATGGGTTTTGCTCATCGTAACCATACAAGGTGCTTGAGGTTTACGTCGGCATACATTCAGTACATCATCTCTTGCCTAAGGCGGCTATCTACAGATAAATCCCAGTTGAAGGAAGAAAATTCAAAGCAATGTTTTGTGTGTGTGAAGAGCTCTTTCAGCTATGCATTTAAGTTACTGAATCTAGTCCATAATGCTGCCACTGAAGCTTCACCAGCACCGGTGGAGTCTTTTAATCTTGCCAATGACTTGCTTGATCTCATCATCTCGGGTGAATTGTTTTTGGGTTCGAATTATGCCGCCCAACTTGTTGCTGTAGCAAAGCCTTGGCTCCCTGATTTGATTCTGGCACTAGGTTCTACAAGTATGCTTGAGCAGAGTATAGAGAAGCCATATTTGACTGCATTGGAACACATTAAACTCCATTTTCCATCATGGCCCCTAATTTTGGCCAAAATTGAACTTGCCGAAATGAGTGAACATGATCGGGACGACAAGGACAGTCAAGTCTCCGAACCAGAATTCTTCGAGTTCAAGAAACTCGTGGCAATCATCATTTCATTACTAAAGCGAAATCGCAGCATACTCGATGCTATTGGTGTTATCTTCCTTGCTACATCGGTTATAGGGCTAGAAAGAAAGGACCTTGATCTGCTACTTGGACTGTTAAGCTTTGTTTGCCGGAAGTTGATCGGGCAAGAAGACCGCGAATGGCGTGGGCTTGACATGATGCTGGTTTCTCTTCCGGACGTGTATCCTCGTATCGAGAGGGAGATCGGAGAGCAAGATGATGATAAAGATAAGGATGAAGATGAAGACGAAAGCCATAATAAATTAGCTAGTGCCAAAGCATTGCTTGAACCTGTCTGGTTATATCATGTTTATGAAACTCAAAAGTTTTCAGAGGTGGCACAATAGATGGAGTATATAAATATAATACTGTATTGTAACAAGAGCAGATTTTGAAACTCTTAGAATTTTATTAGAGTGCCTTAATAAAGTTTTCATAATGTTGTTTTAAATTCAATAATCATCTTCATTAAAAAGGGTAAATTATAAGATTGATTATTTTCTATTAAGTTTTGTATATTTTTTTTATTAAATTAAAAAAAATAATATTTAGTTTTTTTATTTTTATTTAATTATGATGTGGTTATTAAGAGTTAAATATTGTTAGACATATATAAAATTAAAAAGGATAAATTACACAAATGATTATTAATATTTGAGTAAGTTTTCATTTTCTCCACTGAAATTTTAAAAGTAACAAATTGATTAAGATTATTTTGTAGTACATGTATGAGAATTATCCGAACTGATACAGAACCCCACCGTCCACTGACATAGAAGGAAGAACATCGACAAGAATTGATTAACGTTGTGCTTTTAGGTGATGAGTCTTATGGTGTTTTTGAATCAGAATTGTTCAAAGTTAACCTTTGGTGGAACTTTCCGATAATGCAGAGAGATGCAAAACTTGTCATCCTCTAGTAGAGATGGGTATGGGTCTGGTCGGGCCGGGTTTTTGGTCCACCCAATCCGACCTGAAAATTATAAATCCTCCATCCGACTTGAACCCGATTTGAAAAATATACACCTTTCACCCTGTAATACCCCAAATATCATATTAGGGACTATATTGAAAATATTTGAAATTTAAGATTTAATTGAATAAGTGGTAAAAGATGAGAAAAACGATTTGGAATAGTGTTTAGACTAATTTGTATCAATAGATAAGTTAAGAGGGCATTTTTGTCTTTTTGGAGGGAAAATGAATTTAAAAATATATTAGAGATTTTAAGTAAGAGGAAAGAGGAAAGTAAAGCATTTACTGCTCTTCTCCTTCTCCTTCACGTTGGTATTGCTCTCCTCTCTAGCATAAGGTAAACTTCTCTTAGCTAGTTCTTTCTTTAAATTATGGGTTGATTTGGTAACATTAGGTGTTATGTGAGCTTAAGGAAGGATTAAATAAGATTAAAACTAAGTGGCGATGTTTTATAAGACATTTAAAGAAATGAGTTTTTAAATGACATGTTGATATATGTGTTTTTATTGAGGTTTATTAGTAAAATTGACTTATCAAAGGATTGAACAATAGATTAGAAGCATGAGATATGATTAAAAACATGTTTAGAAAAATGGTATGATTCTTGAGTTGAGATGTTCCATGAAGATGTTAGATGTTAAAGATGGCAAAACGAAGTAAAGTTAGTTGGGTTAAATAAAGAGGAGTTAAATAGTATTGTTGGAGGTAAAAGTATGAGATTAGAGGGGAAAATTAAGTGAAATTAGAGCTGGAAAATGGTAATTCTGGGAAATGGTATCGGTACTATAGAACAATATCGATACTATAGGTGTAAATAGGTAGAAATGGGAAGAACAATATCGGTATCGATGCAAGGGATATCGATACTGATAAGGTATCGATACTAGCAAAGGGAAGTATCGATACCATAGATCCAGAATGTCAAAATGGTATCGATACTGAAAGGAAGTATCAGTACCATAGCATAGTAGTATCGATACTGAGAAAAGGGTATCGATACCAGGCAACACAGAATATAGAAATGGTATCGATACTGAAAGGGGATATCGGTACCATAGTATAGAAGTATCGATACCAGAGTAGTAGTACCGATACTATTGAGCTTGGAACAGCAAAATAGGTTGAAATGGTTATAGAAATTGAAATAATGATATTTTGAATATTCTTAAAGTATAATGTTACGGAGTATATTAACATTGGTATATTATGTATACTTAATGGATACTTGTGTAGATCGGAACCAAGCTCCTGAATCTAGCAAGAAAAGGGGGAAAGATATAGTTGCTAATTAGTCAAATGTCTCTACACCTTCTTAGCGGGGATTACCAGGTGAATACCTTATTGTAAGTATTTGAGATGAGTAACATTCAAATTAGAATGTTTAAATTTATATATGTTTTATAATATTGAGTATGTTATCTTTATATGTATGGAAAAAAAATATTATGAATGAGTTTTAGAGTATGAACTGCTCTAAACTGAATTCATAATTAAAATGCATGAACGGATGCATTAAGGCATGAAATGATGCCATAACTAAAATGCATGAAAGGATGCATTAAGACATGAAAGGATGCCATAACTAAAATGCATGAAAGGATGCATTAAGGCATGAAAGGATGCCAGAACTAAAATGTATGAAAGGATGCATTAAGGCATGAAAGGATGCCAGAACTAAAATGCATGAAAGGATGCATTAAGGCATGAAAGGATGCCATAATTAAAATGCATGAAAGGATGCATTAAGGCATTAAAGGATGCATTAAGGCATGAAAGGATGCCATAACTAAAATGTATGAAAGGATGCATTAAGGCATGAAAGGATGCCATAACTAAAATGTATGAAAGGATGCATTAATGCATGAAAGGATGCCATAATTAAAATACATGAAATGATGCATTAAGGCATGAAAGGATGCCATAATTAAAATGAATGAAAGTATGCATTAAGGCATGAAAGGATGCCATAATTAAAATGCATTAACAGATGCATTAAGACATGAAAGGATGCCATAACTAAAATGCATGAAAGGATGCATTGAGGCATGAAAGGATGCCATGATAAAAATGTATGAACAGATGTATTAATACATGAAAAGAGACCCTAATTAAAATTAATGAATAATTACTAAAGAAAAATGAACGAAAAAAGGTATGTTGGACATACTAAAAATGTTTATGATGATAATATGACAAAAGTTTGGTTTCAATAAGAGTGACTTAACTAATCCTTATGGATGATACAACTTAGTTTGAAGTCAAATAACGATGAGATACTTATGTATACCTTAATGTTCTTTAAAATATTATATCTCACTAAGTAAATGCTTAACGTGTGTTGTTTCCTACGCGTAGGTAAAAGCAGAGGTTAATTGAGTAAGGAGTGCATATGTAGCAGTGGTGCTCATCAATTTAAGGTGGACTCATCAGTGACATCAAGACAATCTAGATTATTTTGGAAAAACTTATTTGGTATGTAATCACAGTATTAACAATGCTTTTAACTTTAATTAAGTAGAACTTATAACAATTTCAATTCAATGTTTTGCTTTATATTAAAATATTATGTTTTCAGAAATCGAAAAACAAATTTTTTTTGGGTTTTTCAAATAAGGAATTGTTATAAAGATGACGTGACATCTGAATCTCGTGTACGGACAAGTATACGGGAGATGGGTGTTACACACCCAATCTGAACTCGACCTGTTTTTTGAGGTAAAATCCAACCCGACCCAAAATAATATATTTATTCAATAAAAATAGGGATTTAATTGAAAAATAATATATGGAGGGGTATTATTGCAATTATCTCTAAATATATAAGGTAAAATTACAATTTTTTTTCGGGTCGAGTCTGGTATTTTTCACCCTAAATCCGAATCCGACCCGACTCAAATATAACCTTAAAAAAACTCAACCGACCCAAACTCAAAATTATTTAAAAAAAAACTTACTCAATCAGATTGGATTGGATCGAAACTCGTCGAATTCCGATGCCATGCCCATCTCTATCTTCTAGCCTAGTACCTTGTATTTCTCTAATGGTGTCTTCCAATTCTATAGAAACCTGTCAAAAAAATAAAAAATAAAAAATAAAAAAATGAATAATTTAAATATGTAAATTACATGCACTAAAAGCTTTCTAAAGAGTTATTTTTCTTCATCTTCGACTACTTATTTTTTTGACATTGGATATTGTATCAGTTCAAATCATTCTGGGACATATACTGTAAAATGGTTTTAACCTATTTATTGCTTTTAAAACTTCAATGATAAAAACGAAAATTTACTTAAATATTAATGATACTTTATGTAATCTACCCTTTTTAATTTTTATATTCACTATGTTACATCAATAATTTGTTAAATGTCTAACGACAATAATTCTCAATGATTATATCTTAATTAAATAATAATAAAAATGATCAAATATTATATTTCTTAAATTTAGTGAGAAAAAATGTACAAAATATAAACGAAAGTGATTAATCATGTAGTTTACCCTAATAAAATTGATTAAAAAACATGGGATTAAAAATAAAAAAAAATTAAAATATGATAGAATATTTTTTTTATTAATCTAAGGTAATTACAAGTGGTAATATATATTCTAAATACTCTCAATCATTTGTCAATAAGCACTCAAATACCTTACAGTTGTTGGTACTCGAACCCATAACCTTTAGGGATAATAATTATTCCTTTAATTACCGAGGCTATTTGGTTCGAACATATATAATAGAGAAGATCTAAAAATAATTATAATTTTTTAATTTATAAATTTAATTATTATTTTTAATTTCTTAAACGGAATTTTGTCACTTAATAGTAACACTTCGTTTATTTAAGGCAGTTATGAGTTTTATTTAATAATTCCTGTATTTCTTTTCTTGGTACTTTTTCCTTTGTAATTTTCTATTATAAAACTCTTATTTTTATTTTTATTTGGTTCATTGAAAATTTATTTTCTTTCCATGGTTTAAAGATTCTTGAAACTCTCATTAATTTTTTTTATCGAATTAAGTTTTTAAATTAAGAAATTAAATCGATTAAATCCTCAAATCAAAAATTACATCAGTTAATTTCTTGATTAATTTTAATCGTCTTAATAATTTTTTAGAGATATTATTTTGACAAGTTATCTAAGTCTTCAAAAGTAAATCTTGCTAAAAATATTGCAATAGTGGTAAACAAGGTAGAATATATAAAGAATGATGCTAAATTAATTTTATAAAAATAAATAAATAAGAGAGGAGTTTTGTATAATGTGAATTAAATTAAAAGATTTAACTAAAATAAAGCAATTAAAAAATAAATTGAAATTAAACTATGATAAGATATCTAACCAACATAAATCATTAATTTAATTTATTAT